ATAATATATATATATATATATATATATATATATATATATATATATATACGCACACTTTTTATGACTTCTATATGACTTTCATCTGAGAAACGGAAATATTTTGGAAAATGCATCAGTGGCATCCAATGTTGTTTTTGACCCTATTGACTTCCAATGCATGGGCAAAAACTTGCTGAAACACTACTGAAAATATATATTTTTTACACCAGCAGTCACAAAGAGCAATGGTCATTACCCTTATATCTTAATAAAAAAAAATCACTTGTCATTGCGAGCGATTAGATATTTTATCATTTCCTTGATAATCTCAGATAGAGGCTGCAGTGAGGTCACCAATAATTACCTGATAACTGAGGAAAAAACCCTCAGGCCAATCAAGCAGCATTATCAGATATAGAAAATTTCCTTGCATAAAATCTAAGGCAAAGGCTATGACTTCTAAATGATGCTTTAAAGGCAAAATGAGCTCTCAGTGACTCACTTCCTGCAGAGTGCTTTTATGTCCGTCATCCAGCTGGTTCTGTGCAGTGTGTGCTCTGGAAGAGCTTCGATCGCACCCCGCTTCGGTTCCTGAACTACAAAAAACAAGAGGATCACGGCCAGCAGCCCCAGACCAGGGGTCACCTTCAAAAGAGAAACAAACGAAAAAGAGCAAACAAAAAAGGCAGAGAGAAAATGAAAGTGAGAATAAGTGTGAGGAAATTACAGAGAATTGTTATCATTATATTTAATCTCCAAGTGTGATTTTGTGGTTAAAGCAATAAGCAGGTGTCATACAATCCACCCAGAGACAGATAAACAGTGAGAGGTTTGGTGCTGCAGACGTACCCGAAGAGCCCAGTGCCAATCCCCAGCCACATCATTCACCTTTGAGCCCACGATATAACCCAGACCACTGAGGAAAGAAAGGCCAGTAGATTTGAATGAAAATCGGGATCAGGCCTGGTCCACATTGTAGCTTATGCTGTCCATTTAATACAGTCAGCACTTTAAAATCATGTTTTGGGGGCACAAACTAATGTTCAAAACAAATGTTTTCATTTACATGAGAAAAATAAAAAATGAAAATATGCTCTATCCATTAACAACGTCTGGCCAAATAATCTCATATTATTCTCATAAAATGTTAAATATCTGGTGGCTAGTTCTTTCTCGGAAGTGCTCAACTGTAGCAGCCTGAAAACATATAAATGCAGCTTTGCTCGGTGTGGAGAAAAAAAAACTGAAAATGTAACTGCATGTGGCAGAGTGTGAGAATGTAACCATTCTGTGAATATGCATAGAGCGAAAGTGTGAATATCCTAAACACCAGTATTTCCACTGAGTGTTCTGTTTGAGTGTATGTTTGTGCATTGTCCCACCTGCCCACTGGGATTGCAAAGTAGAAAATGGACAGCATGTTGGTCCTCGTCTCCTTGACGAACAGGTCAGCGATGATGGTGGGAGCAATGGTGGAGTAACTGGCCTCGCCAACACCCACCAGCCCTCGCGTCAACAACAACGCCCAGAAATGCTGAGAGAAGATTTATCCTATTAGTTTACTCTCCAAATTACACTTTAAAATACACAGTTCAGTAAAGAAGACATCGTATCAGAGACTGAAAGCTGTTGCTTTGAAACATAAAGAAAGTATCTGGATGAAATTAACCCGTATGCATTTGCAAAGTCTGAAAGGTTTAATGTAGGACTTACTTCTTTGCCAATGAAGGAGCTGGCTAATGTCACTAGGGACCAGAAAAAAATTCCCACACACATGATGGACTTCCTGTTACACCTGTCGCCCAGGTATCCAAACAGAGGAGCCAAGAACATGTAACTGCAGATGAAGACTAAAAAGGTATAAAGAATCAAAGTGATTGAAAAGTTAATAAATAATAATAATTATAATTATAATGATAATAAAATGGATCCCAGATGGTATGAATCCACTCACCTGTCTGAAGTAGCCCTGATTTTCCATCACTAATGCTGAAGAACTGCTCAATGTCTGGAAGTACACCTGTAAGACAGGAAGTCTACTGTTATCACAGTTTATTACCGACCAATTAAAATACCATTGCACATTATATGTTTTGCAGAATAAAACAACAATGAAGTCTTTCTATAGATATTTATAAATTAAACAGTCATTTGGAACAACAAATATCTTTGCTTTCAACAAGGTCTCTACTTCTAATAGCAAAAGTATGTTTAGTAAACTCAGACAGACTACTGTAAGCTAAAACTTAAAAATAATTTTCCCTAATTTAAATAAAACTAAATAAAAATAAAGCTGAAATAAAATACAAATGGTAGATGAACTTAATCTTAAAGATAAAAATTAGAAATGTCGCAATGGCAATTAACTGAAATAAATTTGAAGTTTAAGTAATAAAATGACAAACAAAATTACTAAAACTAAAATTCAAATTAAAATATAAAAAATTAAGCTTATTTCATTTTTTGATAAAATTAAAACGCCATCAGACAACAATACATGAAACTAAATCAATTATTGTATTGTTAGAATTCATGATGGGATTTAAAAGGCTTCTGATTCAAAAAGACAAAGTAAATCACATTATCATCATGCTGTGTGTCTTTGTCTTGTGCATTTGATCTGGATTAAAAGGGACCCAGCATTGCATAGCAGCACTGATGCGCTGAAATCTAATAGCGCTGGTTACCTGCCACAGTGAATCGGTCCATATAGTTCAGTAGATTGATGTAGCAGAGTACAATCACAGTCACTTTAGCTCTTCTATCAGACACTCCGCTGGCAGACTCCTCCTCCTCGGGCTGAGGTGAACCCACCCCATTGTCAGTAGGCCCCTCCCCCTCATTATCATCTGAGAAGAAGGGTGTTGTGTCGGCAGAAACATCTGTCCGTGACATCACTGCTGCAGAAAAAGATTAAAGTTGATGAAGAACAGAAAAAGCCAGTGTATAGTTCAAATCCGGGAATGGAATATTGCACGTATACAGATAAAAAAAACTTCTCTAGAACATGGATGGTTTGGTCTACCACAATCAAAATCATTATGGGAAGCAAAACAGACCGACTGGCACACAGTTTCGGGCCATACGGCATTAAAAAAAAAAAGACCAAAGTCTATCACTGATTACACAGACTATTGATCACATTCTAATCTCATCCTCACATGAGGATGTACAGTGGGGTTCAAAAGTCTTCTGAAATCTGTCAAAATGCTTCTAATTTGCATTTTTAAAATGAAAAAGCTTTTCCATAATCATTTATAATCTAGTTTGTCAGGAACTTAGACGCACAAAGAAGACACATGGAGAGGGAAGTAGGCACATGCTCGTGATGTGAATTAATCTTGCCACAATATCATGTGAATACAGTGAAGAAAAAATATATTGAAAGAGAAATTAATCTATGAGCTCAGAAAGCTGTGCATGTGTGCACATTTTTAATAAATAATATATGAATGCAAATGACAGCTGACGCACAGATGCCATTGGCACATGCCGCTATGCTCAGTGACACTTCCGGTGGCACTTCCGGTTTTCAGTGGCATGTGTCAGTGGACAGTGGCATGTGTCACAAGTTTTAGTGACACTTTTAGTGACACATGCCACTCGCCACTGACACATGCCAATGAAAATCGGACAGTTCAGCTGTGTCATTTGGACAGCCGGTTTTCAAGTGGTATGTGTCAGTAAAACTTGTGACATGTGCCGATGGACTGCGTCTTGTGTCACTGACATCGTCACGATCATGTCACACAGTATGTTGCCTCCAGTTGTGACTGGCAGATGAGTTGAGCAGCTGTAATTGTAACACAAAAATCCTAAATAAAAAGCTGAATTTAGTGATTTTTAAATAAATGTCCATTAAACGTATTTACAAGTTTATTATTTGTTTTTCTAACATGACGTCAGTGTGTGGCACATCTCTATTTGAGTGGCAGATGACACTGAATGTTGTGCAATAGCCTACCAGTGCTATTGTATGTGGGTGATCACGCAGACTACCCATTCTAGGATACACACGGGAAAAAAATGATCATGGATCACTACGAATACTGCATTAACACTTGCATCCGTTACTGTAATCCTTTATTTTTGTATGACGCTGCGTGCACGTCGGTAGGTGTCAGTATAAATTTAACATTGGCCAGCGCCAGATTATCATCTGGCTTTAATATTTTATATAGTAATATAATAATTATATATAAATTGATTGTAATTCTGTTTATAATTGTAACTGTGTAACAAGAAACACTATATATATATATATGTATGAGCAAGCATTTCTTCTGGAGATTGCCTTGTGAAAAGCCTGTGTCAAGGTCAAGCACACTTCTGAATGGTTGGTGTAAGTTTCATAAAGCACGTTAGAATAGTAGACATCATAATGGTTTGTGGCATTTTCTCATCAGTTTATATTTATATGTAGGCTAATTCTTGATTGGCAAGTATCAGTTAGTGGTGGCACATTTTATTAAAACGTTTTTTTTTGTTGTTGTGGCCTCTGCATAGTCTCTATATTATTTTATAATTACAAATGATACAGCTGAACTGTCAAATCTATGCAAAAATGAAAAAACGCGTATTTACGTATTTGAATGCATTGCACAAAACTGGAACTGGTTACTGGAAATATAAACTTACAATGAAAAATACTCATTAAGGGGCATAAGACACATTTTAATCTTAATATAGGAACTCAATATTTGTTGTACAAATGAACTCCGCGATGTAATAAATCGTATGTTTGACAGCAACATACTGTTAATTAATTCAATATCGTTCTGCCGTTAAGTGGGTGTGTCACGCAATCTACATTATGCAGCGACACCTAGCGGCAGGTGTCAGTCACTACCGAAGGTGCGACACGCACCGCGGCAACTGACAAGACGCAGTCCATTGACATGTGTCACAGGTTTTAGTGACACATGCCACTGTCCACTGACACATGCCACTGAAAACCGGATAATTAGGTTTAAATCGCCGTCATGCATGAATGAATGATATTTTTGCAATTTTACACATAATAATCTACGATGATCACATTACACAAAACTGAAATTGCACGTCAAAATAACACATTGTCAATATTTTTTGAGACCCCCCAAAATTTCACAAATCGTTTTCAGTGGAGCCCATGTCTTATTAAGGGGAGCCGAGCTCCCCCTATAGCTCCCCCGTAGTTCGTACCCTGCACATCTGTATTTGAGTGGCAGATGACACTGAATGTTGTGCAATAGCCTACCAGTGCTATTGTATGTGGGTGATCACGCAGACTACCCATTCTAGGATACACACGGGAAAAAAATGATCATGGATCACTACGAATACTGCATTAACACTTGCATCCGTTACTGTAATCCTTTATTTTTGTATGACGCTGCGTGCACGTCGGTAGGTGTCAGTATAAATTTAACATTGGCCAGCGCCAGATTATCATCTGGCTTTAATATTTTATATAGTAATATAATAATTATATATAAATTGATTGTAATTCTGTTTATAATTGTAACTGTGTAACAAGAAACACTATATATATATATATTAGTATGAGCATGCATTTCTTCTGGAGATGCCTGAATGTTTTGTCAAAGCATTTGACATTCTGCAGATACGTTAATAAGTACAAACTTTGTTTAATATAGCATAGACTTACATTACGTTGCAGACTTACATTACATTGCCTTGTGAAAAGCCTGTGTCAAGGTCAAGCACACTTCTGAATGGTTGGTGTAAGTTTCATAAAGCACGTTAGAATAGTAGACATCATAATGGTTTGTGGCATTTTCTCATCAGTTTATATTTATATGTAGGCTAATTCTTGATTGGCAAGTATCAGTTAGTGGTGGCACATTTTATTAAAACGTTTTTTTTTGTTGTTGTGGCCTCTGCATAGTCTCTATATTATTTTATAATTACAAATGATACAGCTGAACTGTCAAATCTATGCAAAAATGAAAAAACGCGTATTTACGTATTTGAATGCATTGCACAAAACTGGAACTGGTTACTGGAAATATAAACTTACAATGAAAAATACTCATTAAGGGGCATAAGACACATTTTAATCTTAATATAGGAACTCAATATTTGTTGTACAAATGAACTCCGCGATGTAATAAATCGTATGTTTGACAGCAACATACTGTTAATTAATTCAATATCGTTCTGCCGTTAAGTGGGTGTGTCACGCAATCTACATTATGCAGCGACACCTAGCGGCAGGTGTCAGTCACTACCGAAGGTGCGACACGCACCGCGGCAACTGACAAGACGCAGTCCATTGACATGTGTCACAGGTTTTAGTGACACATGCCACTGTCCACTGACACATGCCACTGAAAACCGGAAGTGTCACTGAGCATAGTGGCATGTGCCAATGGCATCTGTGCGTCAGATGTCATGTCACTTAATGTTAAAACTGCTGCTGCCTACGCGGATAACATGTCAGAAGTATCCTCAACTTTCAATAATCTATATCCTTTAACTTCGATTGTAAATTGAATCGAACTAAAAAAAATAAAAATAAAAACTGTTTCTGCTGACTGATGACATGTGATGCTTGATGTTGACCAATACTAGTCTAAGTACAGACATGTAGCTGGTTAAGCAACATATTCCACTGACAGTGGTGCCAAAATAAATAAATAAATAAACCCAAAAGCTGTACTTCTCTTTTACAGACGTGGTTATTATGGAAAAGGCATAGAAAGCTCTCAAGGTGGAGTATTTGTTTAAAACACCCAGTGTTTCCTCAACACTTGGAAAAGCAAAACATTCAATCACAACTACTGAACAGCCTTTCATTTAACACTGTTTACGGAGACATGCAAATCCCGAAACCTATAGAAAAGAGCGCTATGAACTGTCTCCCGTATGATATATCCGAGACTTTGTTTACTGCTCTATAAACAGTCCTCGCACCTATATTGTCGTTTACCTGGAAAATACAAAGCGAAGTCAGAGGCGTCCTCAAGAGTTCCTCTGGACGCTGTTGGGCTCCCTCTGAGTTGTCAAGACGTTTAGGGTGCTATCTTTACCTTACCTCCTGTGTGGACATTTTTGAATTGCAATGGAGGGTCTCGAAGCGAACTGTTTCCGTTGTGTTGCTGATCTACAAGCTCAGCACGACGCCATATTGGAATAACGCAGTGCTTCCGCTCCTCAGTCATGTGAGCGCCTCCTTCAGCTCACTGCGCAATTTTGAAAGATTAACATAGCTAATTTAAAACCACGAGTGAAATTGATATTCTGATTTGTGCACCTAACTAGCACTAAGCAAATGACTTTAATAAGACAAAAGAAGATGCTAACAAAATCACTAGTGAATCTGAACCTTTCATTTGTCTCTACTTCTCGTGCTGATGAATGCTGGTATTATTAGCACAAACTAATTGTAAAGCAGTGATGAATTGTTTGAGCTGATCAATAACCTGAGATAACATGAGTTCACATGAATGTGAAGTTAACTTTTGCTGCATTCAATCTAGGTTTCAGCGGAGTCAGAAATCATCCTCGGGCCTCTGAAAGTGACAAAATACCCAACGTATCCTCATCAAATATTTCAGTATAATCTATTAGGCCTATCGCAGGTTTGGTGCCAACGTAGGCATCACAGTATTTACAACCTGAGAGGCAAATGTTGTCCTATTTACAGGTACTTTAGCAACTGGTGTTGATTTATTTTGATAGGTAACTGCTATAATTGTTCCAATTGCCAGCTTATTTCAGTTGATTAATTAAGTTGAATTACTTGACATAAATTGGTGTGATGTTGTGTTTTATAAGATAAAAAATAGTATGCTCTCAGAAGGCTAAAAAAATGCCTTTGAAAACTAACTCCAGGGAGTAAATGTTGCCCTTTAGAAAACTGACACAAGTACTACATGCAACAAAAACATCTAATAAATTTGTCATTTTATTATATTCCTTTCAATCAAGTAAATTCTTTATATGAAAAAAATCAACAATTCTTAAATAAATCTGGTGTATATACACAATGTAAAACTGAATTTATATTGCTTTTGCATGTCCTCAAACATAAGTCAAATGTGTATTGTTCATGAAACCTTAAAAAAAATTCTGTGGTCTGTTTTAAGTGATAAGAAGGTCTAAACAGAAGTCTGACCTCCTCTACAAATCTTTTTCTCCGTTCTTGCGAACCACAAAAAACATACAATTTTACATGTTACATTGCATCCAGAATATGGTTTCAAAAAAGTACAGAACTCCCAATAACATCAAAAGTCGTGGGCGTTTAGGCCCAGACTTCAATGACGTCACCGTCCTCCATGTCTAGGTCAGCTGGAGTCTGATTATGTGTGACCCTTGACCCATCAAAGAGAAATCTGGCTTTCCATCTAGCACTGGCAGCCAAACCAGAGATGTACTGAGCCAGGATGGACCCTAGAGGAGCATTCTTTAAATAAAAAAGGAACAATGACAGTTGAGTACTAAATTCATTTCACAGAAACACAAGAACATCCAAAAAGATGTACAGTACAACACCTTGTGTAGGGAATACTCCTGCACAGATGCTTTCTCTTTGCCTTGCAGTCGCACAGTAATGACATTACTTTTGTCACTCTCTTCTTGTTTATTCTCTGTTACTACACAATCTGGGAAAGACAGTAGAGATGAAGAAGAGTTGAATGAAGGCTGCAGGATTTTTGATGAATCATTTATAGAATGTTTGCATGTACCATCATTTAACAATGTCAGAGCTCACAACAGGTCTGTCTTTAAAAGTTTATCTTTTAGCATTAAAATTAATTTCCCTGTGGAGAAAATGAATGGAGTTTTTACATCTGGAACCCGACTGGTGCACTCTATAACTGCACTGTGATGCATGCTAATGAACTCAGCTCAAAATTGCTACTGCTTTCTATTACCTATAATGTCAGCTATGCCGAGACCCAGCTCACTGATGGACGAGTGAATAGGGAGATCAATATCTTTGTTTAATAACAGAATTTGGCTGGGTCGGACATTGAGTTTGATGGCCAGCTGTTCCACAGCTTTACTCAAAGGAGACGTCTGCAATCAAAAGGCACATACATACAATGAAAGTCAAATTTAAAAACATTCTTTTTCCAGTTTGAATAAAAAAGTAACTCTATTCATATATTTTTTTCTACCAAACAAATATGCCACATATCGAGTAATACGTCATAAACAAAAGTGTTTATTCCACTTACAGACAGAATTGGGATTTTGTGCAACTCCGTTCGACAGCGAAATTTCAGTGAAATTTCTCGTGCAGAGTCTCTGTCCTCAGTATTTAGTGGACGTCTTTTCTTTTTGCTGTCAGAAGAAATTATGATAATGTCATCATCATCATCATCATAGTCCTTCACAGGAGATGGAGAGTTTCTGCATTCAACCACAGGTTCCTGAGGCTCAGGCGAGAGACACACCAGAGAGCCAATCGCATCCAATTTCCTGTTGATTTCTCTAGGACAGAGATGTGAGAGAGAATGAGAGAATGTCAGACCTGTTCACTTATCTCTAGCCCTACTAGCTGTTCATTTCATTACTTCTAATATTGTTATTCATTGCTGTACCCTATTTGAAAAAAGCTAATATTGATTGTCATGAGAGCATTAAAACTATAAAAACTGCATGAGAAAAGAAGTTCAATCTAAAAAAAAAAAGAGATCATTAAATGTCGTATTTCATCACTAATGATGACGTCACTTACTGTATTTTTTGGTTTGCCCGTCTGCTCCGTTTCACTGGTGGACTACATGGTGGAGGGGGTGGAGAGGTGGAACGAAGGATTTCCCTAGGGAGGTGAGGAAGATTTTAATTAGGGTTGGAGCTAAACTCTGCAGGACACCGGCCCTGCAGGACCAAGTTTGGACAGCCCCGTTTTAGATGAAAGAACATGGCTTAGGTTAGGCTAATCAATCATCAGATGATTAATTGGCAGGGCTGTGATTCGTTTTAATGTCAAAGAGCTAGTTTTGAGTCGGATGTCACAAAAACAAACAACATTGATAATGGGTGCATAATGACACACTTTTTATATGCCAAGGTGAAGCAAAGTCAGTCTGTGTACTTACTGAGCTTCAGTCTGTTCTGGCTCCTCCTCGGAGCCACTCAGATCAATGCTGATTGGCCGTTTCTCTGTATGAGGTGGGGAAGGAGACCACAGAGGACCACCCTTTTCCTCATCTGACACAATAAATTACAACACTAAGGATGGCGTGGATTAATCCCACTCACGAAATGCTAAATATCAGAAATCAGAATATTCAGAAATCTTTCTAATATGCTGATCTGCTACTCAAGAAACATTTATTCTTATAATCCATGTTGAAAACAGCTGTGCTGCTTAATATTTTCATGGAAACCGTTTTTCAAGATTTTTAAAAAATAAAAAAAAAACAGCATTTATTTGACAGACTTTTTTTTTACACTATAAATGTCTTCATGGTCACTTTTGATTGATTTAATGCATCCTTGCTAAATAAAAATAAAATGTTAGTATATAACAAAAAGTTTTGATACCTGTGAGACTGGTGTGTTTGAAGGTTATTGGCTTCAGATTCAACGAGCTGTTAACCTAAAACACAATAATGTAACATCTGAATCGTCTTTTTTAGCCTACGTTTGCACCTTGTAACACATCCATCCCAATGCATTTAGATTACAGACATATTTTCAAACAAGTGGCAAAGGTCATCAACTATATTCTTTCCAGTCATGAAGGACTTTTAAGTTAAGCAGGCAAGATCTACTCACCTTGTTGGAGTAAACAGGTACTGTTGTGATGGAGGAGGCGTCGAGGATGCGTCTGCGTTTGGGAGGTTGTTTTGGAGGGTCTGATACACCCACGTCACTGTCTGTTTCCTGAAACAAGAAAAAGGCAACATATTTCCAATATCATCTCATGGGTTTAAACGGAAATTATATTTGTAAAATACATTTAGGTAATAGTTAGCTGTCTAGCCTGTCAGTGGCAACTTGAGCAGAATTATTACAACTTTGTTTTTACTGACTTGTCGCGGATAAATCACAACAGAAATCGAAACTGTTCGGTAAACGACTAATACAATGTTTTAATGGCTATAAATAACTTAGAGTAAAATGAATGTGTTTCAACAAGTTTATTAATTAATGTAAACACATGCACAACCGTATAACGTATACCATTTTAAACTGGTGCTCTGCGACTACGTTCCCGCAAACTTGAAGGTAACGTTAAGTCTTGCACATTTACTTGAACAAAACCACTTTTCTGTGTTGTTGTTCATTAATCGATATGACAACTGATTAGCCAGCGTGCTATTGCACAGTAAGGCAGTTATAGATAATAGATATTCAGGGTTGTTTTCTGACGATAACTATTTAACCATTATGTCTGTGTAAAATGTACAGAATTTGAGTAGCAATAGCTCTTTAAACTTAGCACTGAATAACTGCTAATAATCGAGATCTCACCCTTTCAGCCATGGCCCGTTTCCGCGCGCGCTCTGTGACTCGGCGTGACGTCACGTAACAAAGGCTCGCTGCTGAACACTTGATTCTTACATTGATGATGAGGCGGATATTTTAGTGAATAGTTAGTTGGATAAGATGACTTATATAACTATTTTAACCAGAAAACAGAAGATACATTACTATTAACAGCTTCATTCCATAATACAATACTAGAAAAAGGGCTAGGAGTTAGAGGTCTGCGCAGGACTATTTTTTTAGTCCCGCAAGGTTATTCCGCACCCACCCGCTCCCGCTATATATTCCCCTTGTCCAAGGCTTTGTCCAAATACCCACACTTGCGGTCTTGGCCACTTGAGAGCGCGTGTGCGCGACAGGAAGTACGTGTGCAAGACTGTCCCCGGTCTTGATGTATAAGTAGTCAAGTGGTCAAGTGCAAAGACCGCAAGTGTGGGTGTCTGGACAAGGCAATTGACTCTTTGTTCACCCGCTGTCCGCTTAAGGCGGGCGTACACGGTGCGATTTTTGCTGTCGTATGAGCTCGCAGGCGATTTTTTTTCTCTCGGGAGAAAATCGCAGATGCTCGCATGGTCGCGGCTCGTACCGTGTGAGAAGAATTACGGGCCG